AGAGTAGAGAGGAATAATTCCTCTTGTCATTTTGGTTCTAAAGTAACTGAACCAGCCTATGTGGACTTTTGACTTAAAGAAAATTATATAAAGCTCTCTATACAACTGTGGTGACCCATGGGGTAAAGTAAGTGAACTTATCACTAATTGTGATAATAGAGTAGGGGAGAATGATTCGTCTTTTCAAAGGGTATTCTAATTAATTGAACTCACCTGTGTGGACTTGGATGAAACATAGACAATTATTTAAAGTTCTGGATACAACTGTGATAATCAATAGTGTAACAAATTTTTTGTATGTATGTTTGACTTTTTTGAATATATTAGTATAAAACAAGTGGATTGTTTGCTGTCTGTTTATTGTTAAAATTTATCGTCAACAAGTTGCATACGCCTACTGTAAATAATCTGGCCATATAGAAAACCTGATATCATCCCAACCTGATACAGTGTTCACTCATGAGATGAGGTGTTCCACAAGACTACTTTAGGCCTGATCCACACTGTACCCAGTCTTGGACTACCCTGAGTAAAGCTGGCAGAGAATTTCTGCTCATCCTCCATACTTAGTTTAATACCTAGTGCTGGCCTGTTTTTCAAAATAGGATTTTTGTGCTCATCTGTAGCACTATCATACAATGATGCACTCCAATGCACTTTCACCTCCTTGTCTGCTGGGGTGGTGGATCTTGGAAGCTGCCTCCATAGTGTGACCAGTTTCACTCAGTAGAGAGTAGGGTAGTGGTATTCTGTCTCTATAGTACAGTTCACCCTTCTGGAGTGCTTTCCCCCTATTCTACTGCTGCCCGGATGTTGGGTTCCCAGGTAGTCTGATGTTGGACCAGCCAACATAGGGGAGGTTACATATCATAATGGAAGTTAATATTTTCCAATACTGAAATTGTATTTCTGATAGATACCACTTCTCCACTTCCATGCATATTATTTTAACGCTTAATCTCAAAGTGATGATTGACCATGCAGTATAGAGGGGATCAGCTGTGCTAGGAGGCTGTGTCACACTCCTGTTGGTGGAATTGTTGTTCCATGCTCATTTGTATGCAACAAAGCAGAAATATCATGTGAAAATATGTGATCTTAGGTGGGACCACTGAATCAGAAAAACTGTACAGGAGTGTAGGTATCTATAGGAAGCACATTTCACTGGGCAATAAAAAAATACTTTTTTGTCAGATACTAGAACAATGCAATTATTTTTGGGTAATTTGATGATGCTGATTCGAAAAATCATGTTAAAAAGTACTGATCACCTGTAGTTTTGGAGTTATGATAGACTTGCAGATGCAATATCTGAATGTTTAATGTTTTGTTTAGTTTTGCCTGAATATCCAGAAATGTTAGTCTTGCAAAAATAAAAGTCAGTTAAATGATTTTTGGGCTCACACCATATCATGGAAACTGCAAATGGCATACTTATTCAGCCACTGAGTCAAGCCAGATGTACAAACTGTAGAACATATATGTGGAGCCCAATGTTTTTGTTGGTCATTAATTTTACACTCATAATAGTGGTATTTATCTTGTGTTTGATGTTTTTCTTTCATGAAACTGTAATATATTTTCCACAAATGTAGCAGAAAGTTTTTGGGTGATTTTTTCACTTTTAGACTTTACATGAATTGGACATAGCCAATATTTCAAATGATTTTCTAAAAAATACAAAATACTTTATGTTTAGAGAATTAGAGTATAGAAGATTTGTGTAACATTTGATTATATCACAGGTATGATGCAAGGAAAAAGATCATACTTTGTTTTGACTGTGCATAGAGTGAGGCGAAGTGACAGAGTGAGTGAGAGGCAACTAAGAGAGAGAGGTGTCTGACTCTGCCCCTTTTATGCTCAGTTGAGGGACTTCTCGAATGTTGAACATTTATTGAGCCTTCCACTTCTTCATAGTGACTTCCTATTCTCAGCTTCATACTTTCACAGCTTTTCTGGTTGCCTTGGGGTGATTCATTCATTGGCCATGCTTGCTTCACACTCTAGCCCCTAAATAAGTCACGAGTCAGTAAATCTGAACTCAGTTAATTAAAATCTAAGCTGCTTGTTTAATAACCTAACTCCTTCCACAGAAAGAATCAACAGTAATCTCATGAATGGGGCAAAGAGAAACAATGGTTTCTGAGCACTCCTGGTTGTCTCTCAAGCCCCCTTTGGGGCTTGTTAGATTTTAAAACCAAAATACCTGCCAAGTAAGTAAGTAAGTTCTCAAATGTTTTAGCAAATTGAGTATATGAGGGTTTCACGATTCTTGGGCAGAGCCAGTGAGCATGGGATTGAAGCAAAAGTGGTATAATTCTAATGATGAAAGTCTTCCGGATATATCCGGAAATCCGGATATTTCTAAAAAATCCTGAAAACCTCCGGTTTTCTTCCTGAGAAACACATTTTTTAAAATTATTTATCGGATTTTGGTGTTCCATGCCATAGATAAGCGTTTATGCAATCACGCGGTTTGTTTACATTTGGCGACAGGGCGCCGCCATTTTGTAGTCTTGCAATGCTTGCTGGCGTGTATGAGACCTTGTATGCTTATAATGCAAACTTCATGTCATGTGAACGAGATTTTATCTCGAAAAC